GACCTTCGGGGTGGCCAAGCGGCTGTGCAGGCGCAGGAAGCGGAGCTGCACCGGAGTGGCCCCCGCGTACTCCAGCTGCAGGGGCAAGGAGAGAGAAAACCAGGTAGCAGGGGCTGCTTGGAGGGGTCCGTGCTCCCCCTGCCCAAAATTTTAGCAGGACTCAGTCTTCTGCTAAAGCAGGGTTTTGGGTTTTCTTGCAGAAGATGTCGCATCTCACTGTGCGCAGCCAGTGGGACCCTGTGCCTGGGCACTGCCCCAGCACAGCGGGACAGGGACTAGAGGACCCTTGATCCCATGAGATGGGCTTGCTGTCCTGGACGGGCACTCACCAGGAAGCCCCCAGGCAGGGTGCTGAACCACTCGAAGGTGTCCTCAGAGGTGTAGGTGCTCAGCCAAGCCTTGATGGGGACCTGTGGGGAGTGGGGACCATGTCACGCCGTCCCAGTAGGGGATGGTGGCACCACCAGGACAAGGAGCCAACTATACCAACTCATGCGTGTGACCTGTCCCTGCAGCCTGGTCACCCATCATGACCAGGATCCTCCTCCCAAACTGCTCCAACAGCTCCCTGCTATGGCAGCAGTCACCACAGCAGGGGACCGGCCACGCCGTCCCTTTCCAGCCACATCAACCCCTGTCCTCACCCACCCTGAAGGACAACACAGGAGCTGAAGCTGCCCCACAAATGCCACTCCATACCTGGTTGCGGACGGGGGCTATGCAGGTCTCACCCCCCGCCGTAAAGTTGCAGAAGGCCACCAGAGCGTCCCGGGGGCTGCCCTGGTTGGGGTCGATGTAGTATTGTCCTGGAGGGAGGCAGAGGGGAGCTCCTGGCACCCGCTTTTTGGATGGCAAGGACGCCATGCGGTGCCATCCCAGCTCATCCCTGGCTGCCATCCTGTTGCTCCAGGGATGCCCATGAATGTGGTTGAGCTCATACCCCACGTCCTCATCCCCTCTTAATTGCAAAGAGCTGCCCATCCCTCCACATTGGCCCCGGATCCGGCCAGTCCTCCCCGCGCTGAGATGGGTGGGGAGGACTGGCTGGAT